ACAAAGCAATAGCCTTAATGAATACTGATTTAAAATTTTTGAATAATACATTAGCAAAGAGATTTCTGAAACCAATATGTTTAAAAGATTATCAACAAGAACATACCCAACTGCATGTACCTTTTAACTGAGCAATACTATTCTATTTAGGCATGTTCCCTAGAATGATATATTAGAACATTTAAACCAGTACTTTCTATGGTGGCAAAGACCTATAAACTAAAAGAGTGCCAACCAATTGAAAAATGGCTAAATAAATTGTAGTCTAGAAATAGAATGAAATTTTATTGTCCCATAACAAGGAATATGACAGATTCAGAGAAATATAAAAAAGATTTGTATGAGCTGATCACAACAATCACAAAAATAACGTGAGCAGAAACAACTCTGAAAACCCTCAAAACTCCGACCAGATCAGTGACAAAGTATGGCTTCAAAAGACTGAAAATGAAATATGCATTCCACCCCTGGCAGACAGATAATGGACCTGACACACAGAACAAGACACGCATTTGCAATCATAGGCACTTGTTGATTCCATAAGATCGTAAACTCCTTCAGGGCAGGGATTGTCTTTTGCCTCCTTTCCTATACTCAGCACTTAGCGGTAGTAAGCACCTTGCAAATGTTTACTGAATGATTGACTTGCTATGATGACATATTTATTATAAAAGTGTTCCTACTGGGTAAGGTGGGGGGAGTGGATAGTAAGAGATATAAAAAATGTTATTTTATTCATTAAAGTCAATTAATTCGATTGTAAATGGTAACTAAGTCCAGGTGGTTGTAATGATACTCAATATTATATTTTCAACAAGACCCTGTTAAAAAAAAAAAGACGGTTATATCTACTTTTATTCTTCTTTTCTCTAGGTTAAATATCATTACTTCCTTCAGCCCTTCACTATTCTGTTTGCCCTCTTCTGAATGGCCTCCAATTTCTCAATATCCTTCCTAAAATGTAATACCTGAACAGAACACAATACTCCCATTATGATCTGACGTGGGCAGGAAACAGCACAATTTCCTCACTTTTTCTTCTTCTAAATTATTCTAAGGTCATATTAATTTTTTTTTCTGCCAACACACTGATGACTCAAGTTTGAACCTGTAGTCCACTTATAGATCCCCACCTCTTTTTTTTCCAGACAAATTGCTGTCTAACCAGCATGCCCCCCATCATGCATATCTGAAGTTAATTTTCTGAACCTAAGTATAAGAGTCTCAGTTTCATCGTTTTAGATTCAGTCTACTGTTGCTCTCTTTTTTGGACCCTCCACTCAGTTATGTAGTATATTAGTTCCCTCTCCCAGCTCTGCATATTTGCAAATTTGATAAACTAAGAAGTCAGAGACCCAACCATATCTGAACAGAAATCTCCCCACCATCCTCATCTATCAGCTCCCTCCCAAGGGGGTCCATTCTACTTTCAGACACACTAGTCACCTGTAAGTTTTACCTCATGCTAAATTCACATTTTCTCTAATTTCTACCCATTGCCTCTAGTTCTGCCCAGAACTAGTTTAATCCTCCTTCTATGTGACAGCCTTATAAAATCTTGAAGAATGTTATCATGCTCCTTCTACTCCCAGGGCTTCAATTCAACAAACATTTATTTAGTACTTATGACATGCAAGGCACTGGAAATAGAGATGGGAAAAGAAAAAAAAGGGGGGGAAAAAAGGAATCTCTGACTTTAAGAAGCTTATGTTCTAACAACTTTTTTGGTTTTTTAGCTAGGCAATGCGGTTAAGTGATGTGCCCAGGGTCACAAAGCTAGTAAGTGTTATGTGTCTGAGGCAGGGGATTTGAACTCCAGTCCTCCCAAATCCCGGTCCAGTACTCTATCCCCTGCACCACCTAGCTGCCCCTATTATGACAATTCTAATTCAACCTTCTGTTTGGATTCCATCATTATACATAATGAAAGCCCAATGAGTTTTGACAAAGACACATGTGAGATTGTTAAACCTTGAAATGTTCCTGTTGTATACTGAGAGTTACTTTGTCCGTCCATAAGACACCAAGAGATTGATTTGCAATTTGACTTGATGATGACTATCTAGGAAATTAAATATGCAACATGTAACATTTAACACTGTTACTTTAAAAATTTAGCTCAATCAGATTCAAAGATGCTTACTTACAGGTCTCTCCTACATAAAACATTTCATAATTTTCTGACAGCATATACGTAATTCTTGACTGAGTAAGCTCTCAAGAGGTAAAAATCAACACATGTTGGAAATGGTGGGTTGCAATCTGTAATGTCTATAACCTCACTTTACAAAGGTGCCTGAGGGTCAGAGATGCTGAACGACTTGTCTAATATCACACTGCTAGGAAATGTCAGAAATGAGATTTGACCACTGGCTTTCCCTCCTTCAAGTGTAACACTCTATCCCTTACGTCACGTTGGTTTTCTAGAAAAAGTGAATTCTTCACTTAAAAAAAATAGTTTTTTTGGATAACTTGCGCTTATAACAAATTTCTCACACACACACACGTACACTACTCCTTTAGCAGGGAGGGCCTGTATCATTAAGACTAGTTGTACAGAACATTATCTAATCTTAAATTTCATTTTGTTTATGTTAACACAATATTACTTAAAAACATGAATAATACTGAAATTTATCATTAAAAAGACAGAGCGGAGAGCTAGGTGGTACAGTGGATAGAGCACCAGCCCTGGAGTCAGGAGGACCTGAGTTCAAATTCAGCCTCAGATACATGATACTTACCAGCTGTGTGACTTTGGGCAAACCACTTAACCCTGACTGCCTCACCAAAAAATAAACAAACAAACAAACAAATAAAATTACAGTGCCTTTCTATGAAGAGACTTGTTTTTTCATTTCAAATCATTAACACTGGGCACCCTCTCTCCTATTCATTTCTTCAAGGGCTATTTATGACGAGGATGTAAACATCTACAGAGAAATTTACATTTTTTTAAATTAGAAGGTCATAGAAACTGAGCATAATTTGAGTCGGTCATGCTCAGTCTTCCTAAATTCCCAGTGTTGGTCTTCCTCACTATAACCTCACTAAGAATATGGAGCTCCAAAGAACTCAGCCATTTGTGTTTTCAATTAGAAGTACAAAGGCAGAGGAAAATTGCATAGCAGCCCAGAAGTGTTATTCACTGTGACATTGGCAGGCTCTGTTTCCACAACGATGTCTGCTAGGTAGAGGCAACTACTTAGAAAGCCTAGGCCAGGTGTGGGGAACCTGCAGAGTGAAGGCCACAAGTGGCATTCTAGGTCCTCAAGTGAGGCCCTTTGACTGAATCCAAACTTAACAGAACAAATTCCCTTAATAAGAGGATTTGTTGTATAAAACTTGAGGCTGCAGGTTCTCCATCGCTGCCCGAGGCCATTTTCCTCCAGATTCCCATCCCAGAATCTTTTTAGCCTGAAGGTCCTCTGTAATACCAGTACTTTATATTTCACACTCATATACATATATATATATATATTTTTTTTTTCCTTCTTCTTTCTTTTCTTTTCTGGCTTACAAGTCTCATAATAGCAGCTTAGACACTGCTGAAATTTACTTAAAAAGAGACAATGAAATTCCAGGCCTATTCCTTTCCCTATGAGAGATAAAGGAAAAACAACAATAAAAACAGCCACAATAAAGAATACAATACATCCTTTCAAATATAAGGGACAACTCAACAAAAATCTGTGCAATTTATCTGAATCATGAAGTTAAATAGTGTAAAAGATGGTTTTGGCTGAAATGATAAGCCTTTTAAAATTTAATTAGGAATTATTTTTTAAAGGAACATAGCTGGCTAATGAAACAACATAATCCTATGTAAACAACCATAAAAAATTCATTCATGCCATTCAGTAAATTAAATTAAAGTGAGAAAACAAATAAAAGAAGAGTAACCACGTAACTTTCTAGTGGGGCTGAAAGGCTTGAGAGGAGGCTGAGATTCTATGCATAAGTGTAAACACAGTGTATCTAGGAAGGCTAGAATTGTATTGAGGGGTATACCTCATCTTTGGTTCTGTCTACTGTATGAAGTAGAAAAAAAAAACCATTAAGATGTACTAAAAATATGTTAGTCAAAACTAACCAAAAAGCCACACCTTCTGAGGGTAGAAAAGTGATGTTTGGAGGTCTGGAGTAGGGACAGCAGGGCCATATTGAATTTAAATACCTACTTACATGAATCAGATTCATCAGTTGGTTATTGAAGAATTCATAACAACTAGATTCTTTCAACAAGCACTTTAAAAGAAACCTGAATGTAAACTTGAGGAAAAACCTATAGGATCAAAATTGGGCATATTCTTTTCATAACTGAAAAAGCCGCTCCCCCTCTATCATGACAACAAGAAGTTGCTCATACTAAACAAATAACCATAGCACAGGGGAACCAGAAGGGACCTGAAAGGTCATCTAGTTCAGTCATTAACCTTGATAGCTCTGAGGCTCAAAGAGGGGAAGGGACTTGGCCAAGGTTACACTTTTTAGAAAACCCAAGACTAGACAATCTACTGATCAGGTCTCAAATTGGACTGGTATTAGCTATATTTCATCTCCGTCTACCAAGAGAGAGCCTGAGCAAGTCCCAGTTTCAATGGCAATGAGGTAGTGCAGTAGATGGAGCATGGGGTCTGGAGTGAAGAAGACCTGAGTTCAAATCAGGTCTCAGAAGCTCGCTAACTGTATGAACCTGGGGAAGTCACTTAACCTATGTGCCTCAGTTTCCTCAACTATATGATGAGCATGAATGGCACCTACCTTGCAGTATTGTTGTAAGGATTAAATGAAATATACTAAGTAGACATTATATAAATGCTAATTCCCTTCCCCCTCTGTGGACTTCAGTGAACTTGGGGTTCTCAGGTGTCATGCATAATTTAATTTCTTAAAAATAAGCTATGAATTGATCACTATTATTCTTAGAAATCAAGCAAGCAGATAACATATTCATTAAAAACAACTTATAAAGAGTTCCATGATAAACAAGTACTTACCTGGCTTGTCCATGTCTGTTAACTGGCTCTAAAAGATAAAATATTGCCATGTAAGACTTTAAAATCCAAAAATTACTTGCTTATAACTACACAAGTCAAACACAGGTTGTCATAAAAAGTTGACAAATAAAAGTCAATTGTGTAAAGAAAGTGTTTCTTTATTAATCTGCAGTACAGATGTTCACTCAAATCTTCTGGAGCCACAGTATGGCTCCATACTGTGATATGAGACTCTGGAGTCTCAAAGTCTGTGCAAGCAAGCTCTGACAAGTCATATTAAGTTGGAAGGGCTTCAGGTATGGTCAATGAGCGCCGAGTATGATGCTTTAGAACTAGCATTGCTAAATTTAGAGAGGCTTATCCTCAGGTTGGCTTCAGGCTCGTGAATATTTTGGCCATGGTCCCTACTAAACACAATCTAAGATTGTAGGTTGTAGACCACAGCGTCTCAGAGTTAGCTGCAGGAATGCCCACACAAATGAAATTACAGATGTTAGAAGTGCTAAAAAGTACCACTCATCTTATACAAGGAATTGAAATTTATCAGGGTTAAAAAGTTTAGGAGCAAGTAGAGGTCACGACTACAGGATTAGCATCAAAAATTCTGAGCTGGAAGGCACCTCCAAGATCATCTGGTCCAACCCCCTCATTCTGTATATACAGAAATTGAAGCCCACAGAGGATAGATGACTTGTCCAAAGTCTGTTTCTTACCACTTCACACCTATCAGATCGGCTAATATGACAGAAAAGGAAAATGACAAAATGTTGGAGGGGATGTGGAAAAATTGGGACACTAATGCACTCTGTACTCTGTTGGTGTTGCTGGGAACTGGTCCACCCATTCTGTAGAACAATTTGGAATTATCCCCAAAGGGCTATAAAACTCTGCATACCCTTTGAACCAGCAATGCCACTGCTAGGTGTGAATCCTAAAGAGATCAACGAAAAGAGAAAAAGACATCTATGTATAAAAATATTTAGAGCTGCTCTTTTTGTGGTGGCAAGGAATTAGGGGATTCCCATCAGTTGGGGAATGTCTGAACAAGTTGTGATGTATGATTGTGATAGAATACTATTGTCCTGTAAGAAACGGCAAGCAGGTTTCAGAAAAACCTGGGAAGACTAATATGAATTGAAGCAAAGTCAGTTGAACAGAACCAGAAGAACACTGTACATAGTAACAGCAATATTGTACAATGATCAACTGTGAATGATTTAGCTATTCTAAGCAATACAATGATCCAAGACAATTCTGAAGGACTTATGATGAAAAATGTTATCTACTCCAAAAAAAGAATTGATGGAATCTGAGTACAGATAAAATCATACTTTTTTTAACTTTTATTTTTTGTTGTTTTTGTTTTCTTTTGTCTGTTTTCTTTTGCAACATGGCTAATATGTTTTGCATGACTTCACATGTAGGATCTATATCAAATTGCTTACCTTCACAAGAAAGGGAGAAGGGAAAGATGGAGAAGGATAATTTGGAATTCAAAATTTAAAGAAAATTAATGTTAAAAATGTTTTTATGTGTAATCGAAAGAATATTTAATGAAATAAATACAAATAAATTGGGAAAAAAAGGAAAAGGACTTTGAATGTAGGACTTCCAATGAGCCTAGGGGCAACTACTGCTGGACATCTAACTGACTATCATTACAGAAAAGAAAAAGAAAGGCTTTTCCATAAGCCTAATTCTTTAAATGTTCATTGCAGAACACCATAGAGAGAGACTAGCCATACAGGAATCAAGACAGAAAAGCATAAACAACAACAACAACAAAATAAACAAACAAACAAAAAGTTTGCTTCGTCTCTGGTCCATATCACATGAGAGGGTACATTCTTCTCACCATGTACTGCTAGCCTACCTACTGATATTGTTTGCTTCTAGGAATTCTTTTGGACTATCTGGACCGTTTAGCTACATCTCCTTGAATTAAATTGGATCTGTAAATCTTATGTGAGGTAAGTTCTAAGTTAAGAGGAATGCCAAAATGATTTGTTTGAAGCCTATTCCTCAGCTCTGGCATTTTTTTTTTATATGATGGACTTCAGAGGCTGCCCCTGAGCCTAACGACTGTGGATATTTCATCCAGTGATATAAAGAGGAGTCCATTCAGCAGTAGCAGATGCAGTGCTACAGTAGTAAGAGGATGGCAAAGATGAGACAGCAGAAGTAAAAACGTGGGACCTAGCTACTCAAATTGTTCACCCACCATGACAGCAGCGAGCTGGGATACATTTATCACTGGGAATTGGGTGGGCCAGTACCCAAAGCAATATTCTCCTACCTCCTTGGTAGGCACAGAAGAGAAGAAAAAATTGTGTGGCTAGGACTCAAATTCATTCACCCTTTGGATGCTACCTTGTTCCAAAGTTGGCTCACCCCTTTCCCTTTCTCTCTCACTTAACAGCACAATCAGCTCTGCAGACAAAGTATAAGAACTAGTTTAGGAATGCTAGTCTAAAGGACTGGGCTCACCCTGCTTTTATCTGTTGCCTTCAGGCATCTTCAGGGTAAGAAAGAGGTTAATGCCCTCATCCAAGCTATTGGCAGCAGCAAGTAAAACTGCTCTTCCCCCACTTGATGGGAAGCCCACAAAAAGGTGACAGTTGAATCACAGAAGTAGATAAGATTGTTAAGGTAGAGATGCATGCTCTATGGGAGAGAAGTGAGTAAGGAAAAGAATCTTCTGAGATGCCTGCTTTTAATGGGTTGGAGGCCACTGGGAAGATAAAAGGAGGGGTCAAAGAGAAAGATGTGATCAAATGTTTCAAATGCTATAAAAATCCACAAGAAAGAAGATTAAGTGTGCATACCTCTGTGTGTGTGTATGTGTGTTTGTGTGTGTGTATATGTGTGTGTGTGTATATATATGGGGGAGAGAGAGAGAGAGGAGACAAGAGGTACACATATAGGAATAATATACATAATAATAATATATTAGGTAGCATTTATATAGCACTTTAAGATTTGCAAAACCCTTCACATATTATCTCACTGACCACATAATAACACTGTGAGTTAGGTGCTATCACTAACTCCATTTTACAGATGAGGAAACAGGCTGAGAGTGGTTAAATGACTTGTTCAGGGTCACACAGCTAGCAAGAGTCAGAAGCAGAAAATGAATTCATAACAAACAGGTTTTGGAAAGAGTGTTTGGGAAGGGGCCAGATTAGAAAAAGCTTTTAATACTAAAAAGAGCAGAGAAGTATATATAGAATATCCTCTGTGAAGACAACTCTCTATAAAATGACATCAATTTATAATTCATAGTCTGGGGTGGGGAGGTCAAAAGCATGATCGGTGCGATGGGAGAGTGAGTTTGGAATCTGGTTATGTCAGTGTTAATCCACAGATAGGAGGTAGCTAACAAAAAGTTAAGTATATTACATCCTCATATGACAGGCTTCTTAGGTTTCTTTCATATGGAGTATGGCTATATATGGGAAGGAACAAGACTTGTTTCACAAGTGAGTTAAGGAAATCAGGCTCATTATTTCACCAATAGTTCCCAGTGACCTCTATGGCCTTTTACATATCTAACATATTATGTGTCTAGCTTTTTATAAATGACAATGTCTATTTAGTAAAAGGGCAGCTAAGTAGCCCAGTGGATACAGTGCCAGTCTGGAGTCAAGAGGACTCATCTTCCTGAGTTCAAATCTGGCCTCAGACACTTCCTAGCTGTGTGACCCTGGGCAAGTCACTTAACCCTGTTTGCCTCAGTTTCCTCATCTGTAAAATGAGTGGGAGAAGGAAATAGCAAACCAATCTAGTGCCTTTGCCAAGAAAACCCCAAATGGGGACACAGAGTTGGACATGAGTGAACAACAACAAAACCTTAGTAATAAATACAATGAACTTATTATCCATTAACAAACAAGATTGGCTAATTTGGTCAATTCCTACCTTTGTGACCTGGACCATATCATTTAACCTCCATGGGCCTCAGTTTCCTCATCTATAAATGAGATGTCTTCTAAGGTTACTTTCTACATCTGTGGTCCCATTATCACATTTAACCAAAGTCATTCAAATATAAATGTGCTACTTCCTCATTGTAGGGTAGAGGCTGGACAATAATCTCCAAGGTCCTTTCCTGTGATTCATCAATTCCTTTTCCAATGAAGTTTGTAGGAATTTACCCCAGAAAATAAAGGTATTAAAGAGTTTAACTCATTTAAAATGGAATTTGAATGGATTGTTCAGGACCCTTCCTCTTGTTGATTTTTTGCATGTCAGAAAGAAGAAAGCCTATAAACTAGAGACAGTAAATGATTTCCTTAAAGAAAATGAGGAGGCAGGTAGAAAACGAGGCTCTTGTAATACTGTGATTTTGGGGGGTTGCTAGGTGGCGCAGTGGATAGAGCACCGGCCCCAGATTCAGGAGGACCTGAGTTCAAATTCGGTCTCAGACCAAACACTTGACACTTACTAGCTGTGTGACCCTGGGCAAGTCAATTAACCCCAGATGCCTTAAAAAAAAAAAAAAAAGAAAAGAAAGAAAGAAATAATACTGAGATTTCTAGATTGGGGAAACTGAAAGTTAGGATAAAAGATTGAACTTGAAAGGTAAGGCCACCAGGATAAGGTGGCCCATAAAATATACTTGCGGAAAATAGATTTAAAGAATATAAATGATAGAGCACCATCATATTTCCAGTCTTTGTGGAATGCATTTGATATAAATAACCACTTAGAATATTCAGGAAAAAGTACTCAACTGTTTTGATGGTTCAGATTGGGTTAGAGCTCAGCCTTTAACCTCTGAACAGCAATCAAAAGGAAATATTTTAATATCTCTACAAGAATTCTGTGACCATTTTTTAAGAGTAGATTAAAAAAGGAACTGAAAATAAATCCCTCCTTTTTTTTTTCCTAATTTTAGGAAAAGCCCCAACAAGTTGGAGAATATCCAGAGAAAAATGACAAGTATAGTAAGGAAATCATACTGTATAAGCATCAGCTTAAGAAACAAATTGTTTAGCTTGGAGAAAAGAGGACTTGGCAGGGACA